CCAACTGGTTCCATCTGGTAAGACTGTTTAGAAGTGTTGAAGGTGGCATGAGAAAAGAAAAATACTTGAGGCTCGTTTGGTTGGAGAGATTAGCTATGATTAATTAAATAATTGGACTCTGTTTGATGTTTGGTAAACCCAATAATTTTCTGGGTCGACCCAGAAATATTATTTGATCATGTCCTATCTTGACTTGTTGAGAGATTGTTTATTAGACCTCTCATGGTCAAAATTATGCAATTGGAGTTTCATTTAGATTATTTAGTGTTATCTTGGCTAATCTTATCTTAGGAACCAAACGAGGCCTAAGTAAATAGGGGATGGAATGGGATTTTTGGGTGCTCGCTTTTTCTTGGCTTTTAGTTGTAGAATATACACATTCAAGACGACACGCACACAAATGCATGTGTATTGCTGAATTATCGTAGGCTGATATATCTGAGAATTTTCTGTTATCGAGGCGCTAATTTACTTAAAATCTTTTGTAGTGGAATATTAAAAAAATGGTTTATGCTAATATTTTTGGAAATGTTGTGGTCCAGCAATCACGTTTGTCAGACAATTGAAGCGGAAGGTGTTTTAAAACCTCTCGTAAATCTGCTGAAGCAGTCAAATTCGGAGACCTCTCACAGCTTGACTTCAATGGTAGTAGTGCTTACGTATATTGTCTCTCAAGTTCTATTATTTCGCCATTTTTAATTTGGGTTACTGAAGTTTGAAAAACTATATATAATGTCGAAACTGCAGATTATAGATATTCTTGCTCGGATTTTAGACCCTAGCCGCGAAATGGCCTCGTCAGAACTTACCTCCAGGTTCGTTCTTATTGGACCCCATATTCGAATTCCATCGACACGTCATATGTTAACTAATAATGCTCTCGTAAATTCGTAATGATATCTTAAATGGAATTCTTTTTTTTTCATATTCATGTACCATTTGTATCTTTACCCGAGTTTACGAGTTATTACAAGAATGACTCAATTTTTATTTGGTAGTGTTGGATACCATTAGAAATTTCGGGTAAATTGATGCTTTTGTTCGTTTTTCGGGTAAAACTTAATGTATTAAGAACACCTCTATTACAAAAATATTAGGATTTATAAAGAAATATTTAATTTGACAGCACACATGCCAATGCTGAAGGAGTCCTCGCTGATTCGACTTTCCTCTCTTGCCTTGTGGATATCTTGAAGACATCAAACCCTAATTTGCAGACGAAAGCTGCTTCCATACTAAACTTCATTTTCACGAACAAGCCTTGTATCGAAAAGCTCATCTCTTCCGACATTCAATCTGGTCTCGAAGCAGTTTTTCAACAGAAATCTTTATTAGGTACGACGAATAACTTGAAAAGTGCATGAATTAATTACCAATAAATTAATTACTGTTTTTTTCTCCCTTTATTTTTATAAATTTAATAAACGGACTGTATAGCAGAAACGGAGTACGATACAGAAGTGAATATCCTTGAACTGGAAGAAGCAGGTGCAGCAGTATCTGCAGCATCCCGTTTACTAACAAAACTGCTCGACCACCAACAGTTTCATCAAACAGTGAATTCATACAATTTCACGCAGTTACTTCGCGCAATCCTCTCATCGAGAATTCCTCTCCAGTTCAAGAATTGGGTGGCCGCATGCCTGGTCAAACTCGGCGCTCTATCAAACCGCCACCTGGACATTGAGGATCCGATTAACATGGAGGTGACACTCTACGAAACGATTCCGAGGCTGATACAGCAGATCAAAGGGTCGCTGTCGCAGCAGGTGCAGGAAGCTGCTGTGGTGGAGCTGCAGAGGATAATTTCCCAAGGGGTGGTTGACTCGACAAGAGCCGTTGCTTCCGAGGGAGGGATATTTGTACTCGTGGAGGTGTTGGGAAACGGGAGTAGTAAGGCTGTGGAGGCGAGTCTAGGTGTGCTGTATAATTTAAGTATGGATGAAGAGAATCATGCCGCGATTATAGCTGCTGGAGCGGTTCCGGTTTTGAGGAAACTTGTTAATTCGCAAAAACCGGACTGGATGCTTGCTCTACGTTTGCTTAGAAACCTACCTACTTAAATGATTTTATTATTTTTTTTATTATCATTTTATTGAAGCCTGATATTATATGTTTTTGATAGTTTGATCAGTCATATATATATAAGGGACTTGTACCAATATGAAGCCAAATTTGAAGCAAAATTGCTAAAATTGCAGATTGTATGTTATATTATAGTTAATCCAGACTTGTAGTTATGATTAGGGGTGTCCAAACCGTAATGAACTGAAAATTTGGTACGAGCCAAATACCGAGCGGTTCAGTATGGTATTTTTTTTTTTTTTTTTGAATTCCGGTATTCGGTACGGTATACTGTATTTTTTATTTTGTTAAATTGTTTCTTTTAACCTTTTTTTAAATATATTTTGGTTTTACCGGTACCGAACCGTACTGAACCGAAGAGTTTGGTTCGGTAAACAGTACAAAATTTTGAAGTACTGGAATTCCAATACGGTTTTACCGTATGAACACCCCTAGTGATAACTCATAGATGTATGTGCAATATTTAAGAGGGATTTTCTGAGTATTAGTCCCAGTCTTAAAAATGAAAAATAAAAGAATATGGTTTGATGTAATAATTTTTCAATCTTTATATGTAGACTAATATGTGCACGTGCGAAAATACTGTGTGAGTGAATGTAGTGAGATGCAAAAATATTGGTATATATTATTGATAAAGGGCACGGATATTTTTCATATGGTGGGATATTATTCTTTTTAACAAGAATTGTGAAATACTTGAAAGTATTTAAATTTGGATATATTTTGAGTAGTTGTAATAAAATATGAGATAGAGAAAATGGCTATCCTCTTCAACTGCCAATCCTTCACAACCAAACCTCAAATCCTGTCTTCATCTGCTCTCCCAAATGACGACTCTCCGAATCCCATTCTTAAGCCTAATAATAATAATAATAATAATAATAATAAACTTCCGAAAACAAATTACGTAAAACTTCAATCCAAGCTGAAGCAGCCAAAGCAGCAGCAGCCGCCTTCTGTTTTGGAAATCGAACGGGCAATCGGTGCCGGCATTTTTCGAGACCGGGACAATTACGGGCAAGCAAGCAAAACTCATCATAATCCTTTTTATTTCTTTTTTTAATTTTTTTTTTAAATAATTATGATTGGTGAATTTGCAGTGAAGAGAAAGAAGAAACGAAGACGAGTTTGTTCGACAATTTGCTGAGTAATTCAGTTGGTAAAAGTGAAGGGTCTGTGGAGAAACAGTTGAGGGAAACTGGTGAATGGCTTGTTTATCAAACTGAGAATACTACTCGCTCTGCTGGTAATAATTAATTTCATTCATTCTTTATGTAAATTACGGCCACCCTTGAGATAAAGTTAAATTACGGAAAAACTGACCATGTTTGGGTAGTTACAGTCAACTCATCAACTATGAATCTTCTTACACATCCACACTTATGGTGTCAAATTCAGCAATATCTTCTAGATAGTGTGAAATGTTCTCTAGTTTGTACTCGTTTTGTAAAAAAATGCAGCTTCTGATACACCACAATTTGATTTTTTACAAGTTAAGAGACACATCTTATTACCATCTTGTTTCAAAATGTGGAGCTCGAATGGTGTAAAACGAGTATAAATTAGAGAATATTCCACATAATCTAGAAGATTTCACTATATTTGACGTTGTCGCAAGGATGTACGTGTAAAAAGATTCATAGTTGAGGGGTTGGTTGTAATTACCCAATCATAATGGGTTTTTCTGTAAGTTAACTTTATCTAAGAGGCTGACCGTAATTTGCACTTCATTCTTCTTCTTTTAAGCTACATATTTTCGACATTTATTAATTATTTTTTTGTTTTTTTTCATAAGATCAGCCAAGTATAATATTTTTATTAAAGAAGAGAGAGACTTCCTATTGAATTTAATTAGTGACACATATATACATATCATTACTTGAACCATACAACATAAAGAATTATTACTCTATGAAAAAAGATTCATTTAATTTATGTAAGCCTGAATTAGTTGCTTATTTGCAGGAAAGCAAATTCTGGTGAGTATGTTTGTGTGGGTTATACCAATGTGGATATTTTCGTTTCTCGTAGCAACTGGTGTAATCCCTCTCCCGTTCGACGCTCCGTTTCTCAAGGATCTATTTTTATGAAGAACATGGTACATATATGCAGAGATGCAGTTTCAATAAATTTAATTTCCAACCTCACACTTGTTTGTTTTTATGTTACTTATAAGAATTGCTATTCTTACCTTTCAGTCTTTCTAGCATAATTTCCATGACTTAGCGCTATTTTACGGTCCACCGATAATGGCAGAAATCGGATGAATTTAGTTGAAATTAGCATTTTCCAAAAACAAAATACATTTTGTTGTGAAAATTAGTTCAAAAGTGTATTTTTTTAATATAAAAAGGATCATAATTTTTTTTGGAATTTTAATTTCATATTGGTATTGAGAAACTTGTTCTAAAATCTAAAATTTGCAAAGTTGTGGAAATCTTGTTTATATACCCACGTCTAATATAAACTATATAATACGATTTGATTGAGCAAGGAACTACACTTAAGTTTCCGTCAACGACAGTCTTTTTTAAGCCTAATTAGGAAATCTTTAAAAATGATGTTTCCGGTGGTTGTGATATTTTTTGAGATGATCGTAAAAAAGAAACGTAAACCAAAAGATCTTATTTTGCGTGTGTTCTTGTTGGGTACTCGTTTGAATATTCCATAGGTTCTTGCAACACCAAAACCAAATAGACCATTATAGAGAAGAGACTATGGGCTCTTTTGGTTGGCATTATTAGCCTTGATGGGATAAATAGTACCTTTTAGTACAACATTTGGTTTGGATGTTTTCTCAAACCTTGACAAATGACCCCACCACTTTTATCCCTCAATCGAATTATTAGTTGTCAAGCCAAATTTGGCTTGACAAGTTATCATCGAAATACTCCCATCATGTGATACGTATGAAATGTCGAAAATGCCCTTCAAACATACAACAACTACAAATTTATCACATATAAATAGTCGTTTTTCTTCTCAACTTTGTCTTCAACGATGAGCCCTAAGTTTTGAGAGATGGGAACTGGCGTCCACATTAGCATCCTCCCACGACTCCCGACTGTCCTCCGTCGCGGCCAAAAGACGCCGTTGAAGAGCCCTCCATTAACGCTTCGAATAATCTTATGTGATTAAGACGTGGCGAATATTCAAAACTTAATTCTGCGACAACAGATCATCAAATACAGCAGAATATCGAGATGTCGTGGTACTCGGATTCGAGAAATCTGTACAGGTTCATCTTAAATCGTGTGTTGAATGTGTTCCAATTAGGATTTCGAAAGGGGTAAAAGAGAGAGAAGAAGATAGGGACATACCATATGATTTCTGATGCTATGCTTTTCTTCATTAATGTAATCTCTGTACTTAACTACTTAATAATTGGGATAATAGAATGTCTAATATAATTGCATATTTGATTTTAATTTTTTTTCTCTGCCATATCTATTTAGTTTACAATTTAATACATAGTCAATTAAAGATTATGGCAGAAATTGGTAGGTTTGCTGGGTTTTGTAATTGGGGATCTAAAGAAGACAAAGATTGACAGATCATATAATATCATTAAGGGCATTTTCGGACATTTTACAACTAATCCCAAATAAGACAGTGAAATCAACGAAACAAAACATGAAATTGTTTATCAAGTGATTAACATACACGTGACAATACCACAAACCAAAAGTAATGTTTGTGTTTACTCATCAACATTTTAATCCCAATATTAGATATCCCATCCCTACTTATCTATCCATACTACTCAACCAAAAGAGCCCTATGGGAATAGTGATTAAGGATTACTGTTATATATATAAATACATAAGAAAAAGAGATAGCAAACAATATTAATTCAATACATGGAATTGTATTTGTTCAGCAATGGGCTCAGTCTTCTAACAATCTCATCTACGTCCAAAAATCTAGTTGACGGTAGCTCCGATCGGTGACAACCACTTTACTTGAGACCCAACTCACCTCACTCAATTAACTCAACCATCAACTCACCCGACTAAGAACACCAATATTTCTCTCAACACTCTCAAATCCCTCTGATGCCCCCCTCACAAAGAGTGTATTTCTCACTCACTAGAGAATGAAGATATAAAATATAAGAAGAAAAACTAATTTGTGTGTTATCCTCTTTCTCTATTCTCAAACTCTATAATTAAAGGCAATAACAACGGTCATCAATGGAGAATCCACCTCAGAGTCAAGGTCAACCAAGTAGGTGGCGTTTGACTCAGAAGTCGCCGAAAGAAGACAAACAGAAAGAGGAAAGGACGGAGATACAGTGGTAGAGAAAGTATAGAGCGGAGCAGAAGTCCAAGCTAGCTTAAGAACAAAGAAGACAGACCTTACTTGAGGGGCTAAATGAACGATCAAGATTGACTACTCAAAATGGGTGGTCACGATTTAAGTCCTAAGGCTTCTCTCATAAGGGCTTGAGTGACTGAGTGGGCTGTCACCTCAATTGGCCGCCTCAAGTGAATTGGGAATTGGTCCAATTCTAAAATGAATAAATCATTTGGGCCCATTTTCTTCACAATTTTATCAATGAAAGTTCTATTCTCCCTCACCGAACACATAATAAAAAGACAAAAGAATTAATATTACTGTGAGTGACAGTAATATTGCTATAACAACAGTAATATTACCGTCAACCACAGTAATATTACAGTAATAGACAGTAATATTATTACGTTACTCCGTGAATAACTCAAACAAACAAAAAATTCCAAACAAAATAATAATATTGATGTGGTTGACAACAATATTACTATAACAACAGTAATATTACCGTCAACCACAGTAATATTATTGTATTTACAGTAATATTACAATAATAGACAGTAATATTATTACGTTACTCCATGAATAACTCAAACAAAACAAAAAAACCCAAAAAAATAATAATATTGATGTTGTTGACGGTAATATTAGTGTTTTACAGTTATTTTTACTGTCAACGACAGTAATATAATTACGTTGACTTGTCAACAAATATAAAAAAAAGTAATAATATTACGTTAATTTACTGTCAACGGCAGAACAATTGCATAAATGTATTGTCAACGGCAGTACAATTACGTTAATTAACTGTCATTGACAGTATAATTACCTTAATTTACTGTCAGTGACAGCACAATTACGGTCAACGTTTAGCGTCGGACGTAAAAAAAAAAAAAAAAAAAACCTTAAAAAATCACTAAAAAAAGTCAACGCCGGAAACCGGTGAAAAAATCCGGAAGAAAAGAAAAAAAAAAGAAAAAAAAAAAGGTCAACGCCGGAATCCGGCGGCAAATTTTCTTTTTTTTGAAAAAAAAATTATTTTGAAAAAAAAAGTTTTGGGTCAAAATTGAATAATTTGTGAAATTTGGGGTCAAATTGAAATTAAATTAAGTTAGAGATGAAATTGGAGCATATTAAAATAGCTCAAAAAAAAAAAGTCAAAATTGGATTTTTGTGGACAAAATTAATTAAATTGGGATTATAATTAAGAATTGGGTATAAATGGTCGAGGGTAATATTGGGATATACATGAATGTTTCCTTTATTTATAATAAATATTAAAATGATGAGTTTATTGGTGAAAGAGATATATCCCCTAAAGCTAAAATAATAAAGATGATTGGTTGAGACTTATGCATAAAACCCCTTTAATTATGTGCATGATTTAACATTTCAGTTAGGGTTAGTCGTCCAAGATGGGCCGGCGTATTGCACCTGACATGTCCTATGATCTGATCCGTTCCATTCGAGAGGACCCATCCCTCTGATTCTTCCCAGCAGGCGATCACATTGATTATCTTAATTTTGCCCTTCGGTAATAATTCAGTACTATTAAAATTAAAATCGTATTTGATATCAAAATCTCATATAATTTCTATCCTGGCCCAAAATAAAATTAAATAAAATAAAATTGTTCTC